CCCCCCCCCCCCCCCCGCGTTTTCATTCCTACCAGCCGTACTTGTGGCGATGACAAGAACTTGCCGATCTCTACCTGTGTCGTGAGCTCGCATCCATCACATCTCTCTCTCTCTCCGTAAAGGCTCTTTTCTGATTTTTCCCCCTTCTTGCTATCATGTCGTCACCGGCGGTATCTATCTTGCCCACTGTACGCTCATTTCCTTCGCTACGGGGGAGAGGATCTGTGATCCGGGGTCCCACAGCATAAGACTTCCTTCGCGGTGCAATACCTCTGCTTGTCTACACTACGGCACGTAATAGGTAATTCTTCCTGGCTGCCTGTCCGCCCCGTCTACATTGTTTGCGTTTTGTCTTTCTGTGGCACCTAGACTAACTTGCCCTCCTGCCTGCCCCGTCCGTGTTGTATAGGAGTGGCCATGGAAGTGCAGGACAGCCTGTTTTCGACGGCCTTGGATGGCGTTCTCGCCACCACCGACGAGGCTAAGGCCTTCGACGGGGCGCAGGTGCGTTGTTGAAACCCCCGCTGTTCTTGTCTGCAGGCAGCGGTATTCGAACAAGATCGTGCTTCGAGGTCGAGGGGGCGGTGGGGTTGGGGTTCCCCAATGCAGAGGTTCCCATGTGCATGGGATGAAGGTCCCGTTGCTACAAAGCCAACGGAGACTACCTCACGCGAAATGGGTCCCGTAGCGCAGAGGTTCCCTCTGGCGTTACAGCGCAACTCATATTTGTCTGCACGCTTAGCGAGCGAGGCATCCGACCGCGCCCCCTTTTTGTACCGGAGCACGGTTTAGTCACATGAGAGACACGGTCGGTGCTGTCGTGGGCGGTTATTGACGCGTTTGCCACCGACGATTTTTCTTGGGGGTTACACTTGTACGCTTCCACTGTTTTTTGGGCCGCACTGGTGTGTGTCTTCATTTCCGCCCGTCGTTGATTATTGCGTTTACACCTGCCCCCACTTCCCCGTCATCTGCTGGTGCTTTTGTCGGCCCCCTGTCGTATGTGTGTGTGTCCAGGTGGCCATCCTCCTGGGAGGTTTCCCAAGAAGGCCTGGGATGGAGCGGGGAGACCTTATCGAGAAGAACGCTGGCATCATGAAGGTGATTTGAGAGAAAAACGCAGAGATTTTTTTTGTGTTGTTGGGGGGCGATTTTGTTTTGTGTGTCATGTTCTCAACGCGCCGGATTGTGCGAGAACCGGAAGGATGTGTGTTGCCGTCCGCATATGTCGTGTCGGGAAGTATGTGATATTCTCTCTTTCGCTTCGGATATCATGGGGACTGCCGAGTCACGCCTTCAAGCACGGGTACGTCGCCTAACGAAGTTTCAGTTGTGCCTGGACGAACCCTAACCCCAGCCCTATGGGTCTCGCCACCTTCCTCCCCACACACGGACAGGCAACCCCGGCGCCCCTCGATTGTGCATGTTCTCGCTCCTATCTTTGTTGGTGCAACCCATGAAATCGGGTGGGGGGGGGGGGGGTGCTTTCTCACGCCTATTAGGTAGACGAGGCGGGGGGAGGCCCACCTCTCACAGAAGACCGTCTTCATGTGTCGATTTTTTTTTGCCGATTATGTAGCAGCAAACAGATAATATTCAGCCTCAGCGATGCGTGCCCCCCCGGCGCCGTGTCCTAGAGTTGAGCCGGCACAACATGCCAGTCCCTCGCACGGTGGAATTCAGCCTGAACCGGGCGGGGGTCAGACTCGGCGCGAAGCGAACGACCCGTACCTGTGGGTGTACTTTTTGGTAGTTTCACGTTTTGTCTCCGTCTTCTCTCGCCTCTCGCCCACGAACAACAACCGCTCTCCAACTACACAGCGGATGGGTTGTTGCCTGGAGAAATACGCCAGCCGTAATTGCAAGGTGGTGGTCGTGGCCAACCCCGCGCCGACCAACTGCGTCGTCCTCGCGTCTTACGCTCCCTCCATCCCAAGGTATGATCTTTTTGGTTGGTCCTTCGTTTCTCGAGCAAGATTTTATTGTGTTTTTACCCCGCACTGCCGCCCGCCTGGTTTTATTAAGAAAATGGAAGAGCAAGGTATTTCCGGTTTCGAGTACAGCTCCATTCGCCCCCTGGAGTACCTGTGAACGTCAAGCCTGTTTGAGAGTGTGCTTCAGTTCGTTTTTCCTCAAGGACAATGGGAAGTGTGCCAGCTCGAAAACCTTCTCTAAAGCGCTCTCATCACCTGCGATGCCAGCCTCTGAACTGACAACCCAGCCCCAAAACAAAGACACTAATACCGTACAACAAGAAATACGCGCGCCACGGAACGTATGTTACCCACTCGTTCTTGCAGCCATACCTTGGCGAAGGAATACCAACTCCCTGCCGGCCCTGTCTACACGTCACAGACCTTGACCGCACGACCCAACTTTTTCCGAATCGCGCTGTTCAGTTTCATGCCAAGAACTCGAAACCGGAANCCCCCCCCCCCCCCCGACAACAACACCTTGCACGATCTACGACGCCACCGCAGGAAGAACATTAGCTGCCTGTCCCGCCTGGACCACGACCGCATGGCGGGCATGCTTCTTCACGAGGCCAACCGCTGCCTCGCCGCTGCCGCCGCTAACGGCAACGGCAGCGCCAAAGGGGGTTCATGGCAACGGCTGGGGCCGGCGGACGTTAGGGGTGTCTGCGTCTGGGGAAACCACAGCAACTCTCAGGTGCGGGTTCTTTACGCGGTGGTAAAACGGAACAAAGGGTTGGCTTCAATTCAAAGGTGGCTGCTTTTGAGCTGGCGGGAGCGATCTAGATGCATGGTTTAAATGGACCTTTTCGTTGGTACCCGTCAAACGGCGCAACAAAGGAAGCGAAGCACCATCGGAAAAGTACGAGTTACATTAACCTGTACCACGTTTTCTGTCGCTTTTTTGTTTTGCCTTCCTGTCGCTCGCCGGGGATTTTTTTGGATTTTCCTTTCGAACGGTGTTTGCCTACCCGGCTGAAGAACTTCTTTCCGCGGCCTCACAGGAGTCCATCCGCCTTGAGGTGCATATCGTCGTTCTTTTCGCGCAAGAATCCTGACCCTGGCACCATCCACTTTTCCCTCTCCTCGAGCGTGCTCGGGAAGGAACGCCTTCCAATTCTAGGGCGCGAAAAACATTCCGTAATTTCAACGTCATGTGTACCCCCTTCCAATGTTCCATCTCTCGATGACGCGCGGTCCATGGTCTAGCCGCTATGGCATGCCAAACATGAGTACGTGTGGTGATGTGCTAGCCTGGTCCGGCGAAAACCCGGCGTTTTCCGTCCGGGCTTGCAGGGATGCGAGGTCAATTGTCTAACGACTACGGCATGCACGGCGATGAGTACCCCCCCCCCCCCCCCCCCCCCCCCCCCCCCCCCCCCCCCCCCCCCCCCCCCCCCCCCCCCCCCCCCCCCCCC